GGGGGGGGGAGGATAGCAACCTTGGCTAGACTTAAAGAACTGGAAGAGAAGCTACAGGCATGCCTCGCAGATATTTCAGATTCTGTTCCGACCATCATAATAAAGCATTATGGCAATAAAGCGAGTTGGAATCTTCTTGCTGGTGGAGGGTTTTGCCTTCAGTTTGTAAAAAAAAAAAATGCAACACTTGTGAGGCATAATACAGTGAAGCGCAATAAAACGAGGTCTGCCCATACTGGGCTGTTCACTTTATACAGTGGGGAGGGCCCGGCGCTCCCCAGCCTCTCACTCCTCCAAACGAACACTCTGCCTCGGAAGAAGTCCAAGTCCAAGTCTGAGATGCACCCCACGTGGAAATCTGAAAACTGTCAAGAACATTCTCACTCAGGCCAAACAGTAAAGGTTTTGTCTTTCTTTTTTTCTTCCAGGTGAATTTTGTGGCCTGCCAGCTCCTTGCTTTGTTTGCTGCTTTCTGGTTTCGCATCTACTTAAGTCCTGGTAAAACCAGTCCGTTGGCCCGGCACACATTTGCCACCATTTTTGGCATCTACTTTGTCATCTTTTGTTTTGGCTGGTGAGTATGAGCCTCATAAATCCTAATATTTATCATTTGGGTGTTTTGTGGCAATATTCTTGGCATTTCCCAGTCTCTAAGGAAAGAAATGTGTATGTTTGTGTGTATTTACTCAGAATAATGGGGATGTTGCAGAAATTTACATTTACTGTAAGAACCTGGAATCAATAAATTTGACTATCTGTTGAAAGTCAATTTGGTGAATTTTTCTTAAAGTTACACTTGCACTGATCTCCCCTGGGTCATGTAAATGGGTTTTTATATGGTTTAATTTTCCTGATGAGGAACCATTCCTAAATATTGTAGACATAGGCGTTTTTCTTGCGTTACTGCTGGAGATATTTGTGTTAGTCCTGCACTTAGAGTAAAACAATTGTTTTAGTGCTAGTCTTAGGGAATGGGAGTCATTCTGTTTTCTTTTTAATATGTTTTTATTTAGTTTAGAGAGAGAGGAAGGGAGAGGAGAGAGAGAACCATTGATCAGCTGCCTTCTGCAGGACCCCTCCTGGGGTTTGAGCCCACAACTCAGGCATGTGCCCTGACCAGGAATTGAACCCGTGGCCTCTTGGTGCACAGGATGATGCCCAACCAACTGAGCCACACCAGCCAGACCTAGGAGTCATTCTTGAACAAAGAAAGCACATAGATTAGAGTTTTCTCTACTAGACAAGCTTGATAAATGCCTTGGGAGTGGCACTTCTTGGGGAAGAAGCTTTAGGAACCAGCATTTCTAGTACAACTTAGGGAAATTTGTGAACTTGTTCAGGGTACTAGAATGCTGCTCTTCCTTTTTCAACGAAAATTTAAGAAAGATTGATGAGTATTTTGAATTAGCCAACAAGACAGGTAGAAGTCACCTCAGTTTTGGTCCTGGTACTTTAAAATAAAATAATAAAAGTTACCAAGAAAGAAAGAACTCTCTTCCAGTCTCTCACTTGTGTATATGAAAAAAGTATAAACCCTGGCCTGTGTGGCTCCGTTGGTTGGGTGTTATCCAAGCACTGAAGGATTGAAGGGTTGCCAGTTGGATTCCTAGTCAGATTCCCAGTCAGGGCACTTGCCAAGGTTTTGGGCTCAATCCCCTGTAGGGGGCGTGCAGGAGGCAGCTAATCGATGTTTTACTCTCGCATCAGTGTTTCTCTCCCTCTCCCTTCTCTCTCTAAAAAGAAAAAAAAAAATCAATACAAAAATATCTAAAAATTAAAAAAGTATAAATATTCCATTTATGATTCCTGACATCACCAGTGCTGCCACTGGCAGATTGTGCCATGACTTCCTACTGTCATTTCAAGATAAAGTTCTTAATTCCATAGAACAAAAATACTTGATTTATTTTCTCTTAACCATGAGTTAACTGGTCTTTTGCCTTTTGGTGGGGTGGAGGTGGAGTAGCAGTGTTGGTAGCCAATAGGTATGTTAATATGAAACACATTCAATGCTTTTCCTTCCCCCTATGTCTTAAAGGTACTCTGCACATCTGTTTATGCTGGTGTTAATGTGCTATGGAATCATGGTCACTGCAAGCGTATCCAATATTCACAGGTAAGACCCTGGGAACGAACAGTGTGAGGTGAGGTTATTCATGGTCTTTGATTTCCAGGGGAAAGGGTACCTTTCCCATATGTCACATGTGGCATACCCTTGGTTCTCTGGGATTTCAGAAGGAGGGGTGGGGAGCCCTAAATGTTGGGAGCCTTCAGAGAAAGTTTTACGAAAAAGGTGGGGTGCAAATTGGTTCTCAGGTGAAAGACAGTATATCAGAATTAGGCAGCTCTGTTTGTGATAGCCCCAAACTGGAAATAACCCAAATGCTCTCACCACGGAATGCCACTCAGCAATAAAAAAGGAATGAATGGTTGATCCGCACGATGACATGGATGACTCTCAAATAAATATGCCGAGTGAAGGAAGCTACACAAATTCTACTCCTGAAAAGGCAAACTAATCTGTGGCGACAGAAGTCAGATCAGAGGCTCCCAGGGGTGGGTTGGTGCAGGGGGATGTGACACGGATCCCAAAGAGGCAGGAAGAAACTTGGGGGTGATGGGTGTGCATGTTTGTTATCTTGAATTTGGCCATGGTTTTCTGGGTGTGTATGTATGTTGGCACTTTGTATACTTTAAGTATGTACACAGAAACTGTTAAGGAAGAAATATTTTTATTATGATATTTTGGTTTCAAAGTACAGAAGTAATTTCATTCTACCTGGAAGGCTGCATGCCTAGGTCATCAGGTAAGACAGCCGGGGTGTCTGTTCCACTGCACTGTCTCTGTTTCTCATGGTCTTTCTGAAACCCCGGTATTCCGGTCTGCCCGTTGTTAACACTGGAATGTAAACTCTGAGAAAACAAAGACCTTTCTCTCTTACTGTTGTATCCTCGGAGGCCAGAACAATACCTGGCACAAGTAAAGCCTCAATAAATATTTATGGAATGAATGACAAGTAAGACTTGTTTTCTGATGGTGTCCCTGAAAAAGCAGATGCTTTGGAAAGCTCTTTGATTAATAAGACTGTTGGCACAATAGTTTTCCTTCTTAGAGTCATTGAAATTTAACTTTTCAGTGTGCAATCTTGTAATTACGTCAAATAAATTTCTGGTTTTCAAGGGAGAATATTTTTTTCTTTTTTCTTTTTTTTTCTTTCTTTTTTTAAAAATATATCCTTGTTGATTTCAGAGAGAGGAAAGGACAGGGAGAGAGAGACAGAAACATCAATGAGGAGAATATTTTTTTCATGCTTTTAAATTTGATAGTCATTCAACTTAGTATCCAGATGAGCTCTGAAAATTTGAATCCAGTCATCTCTTTTCTAATCATCTCATCCCCTTGAAGGGGAGCATGTCATCTACTCAGAGGGGAAATAGGAAACCCTTATTTCTAATATGGAAAGAACAGGTTTTGGAAATGCTTATTTATTCAATTATTTATTGAATCCTCACCTGAGGATATTTCTTCCATTGCTTTTCAGAGAAAGTGGGGAAAGGAGAGAGAGAGAGAGAGAGAGGAGAGAGAGAGAAACATCGATGTGAGAGACACACATCAATTGGTTGCATCCCACTCGAGACCCCAGGACTGGGTATCAAGCCTGCAACCAAGGTATGTGCCCTTGACCCGAATTGAACCTGGGACCCTTCAGACTGTGGGCCAGCGCTGTAACCGCTCAGCCAAACCTGCTAGAGCTGGAAATACTTTATATTATGACAAAATTTTTTTTTTTTTTTTAAGTAGGGGTGAAAATGGCTGATTTTTCCTAAACTTGATTTTTGGAAACAGTGAAATGATTAGTAAAATTGTTGTTGCATCTCTATAGGACATTTCCTTACAAACTGTTATGTCTCAGCTCTGCCCACACGTGGAGGATGCCAATGGGTTGCGGTCCATTGCTCAGAGGGTGAAGAACTTATATACACGCTTACTCTGTGCCAGGCCCCCTGATCTCTGTGTTAGTTTCTGGCCAGGGATGGAACACTCCAGCCTTGGCGAACTGAATGGTTTACAGAGAGGCAATAATATTGTGGTAGCAGAGGGCCGTGTCACAAGACCAAAAAGAAAGGATGCCAGAACAAGTTTTTCCCCTGTTTCTTTCTTGTGCGTTTGCCAGTGCTGCAGAAGCAGGGAGTGGTTCATTTCCCAGTGGAGGGAAGTTGTTTCCTATCGATGCAGGAAAGCACAGAAGACCCGAGTCAGGAAACCTGGCTCTTCCTAGCTGTGTGAGGTCAGACAAGTGACACAGCCTTTCTGTTCATCAGATTTCCCACCATCAGATGGGGCGTTTGTGGTAGTTTGAACTTCAGTTCTCTTCAGGGCCAGGATTTCAGGAGTCTCTGTGATTTGTTCTCTTCTTGTCACTGAGCCGCTTTTAAGGGCTCTGTCACATGGCTTGAAGAGGAGGGAAAGGTTAGTATTTGCTGCCTTGTGGAACTAACCCATTTCTGGACTGACCATTGTCATTCAGGGTTTATAGGGAGTCTTGGGGTACCAGCTGTTTCCTTGCAAGTGGCTATGTTGGGCAGAAGCCACAGGCATTAATTTACCATGTACGAACCAACTAGGGCAGAATATAGTTTATATCTCCTAGGACAGAGGCCTTGGGTAAGAACTGGGTGACGCAGTTGCCAATTTTGGAGTACCTGTTTTGTGCCAAGTGCCAGGACAAGCTCTTTTAAATATATTTGCTTTGCCTTGGCCAGTGTGGCTCAGTTGGTTGAGCATTTTCCTGTACACCAAGAGGTTCCCAGTTTGATTCCTTGTCAGGGCACATACCCAGACTTGATCCCCAGTAGGAGGCGTGCAGGAGGCAGCTGAGGGGTGATTCTCATCAATGTTTCTCTCTCTCCCACTCCCTTTCTTTCTCTCAAATCAATAAAAACATTAATATATGTGTGTGTGTATATATAGTTTTATTATTTTTAATAAAACTCTTATTTAGTGTATCATTTAATGTTAATATATTTACTATTTACCATTATTGCAAATATATTCTTTCTAGGAAAACTCAACAGGATATAGATTTTTTTGTTCCTGATACAAGAAAATGAAATCTCAGAGAGGTAGACAGGTGTACAGTTTGATGAATTTTCACACAGTGAATATACTCACATACCCACCACCTACTCAGAAAGGGGAGTATTACCTTCATGCGTGCCCCAGTCTCTGCCACAGCCCTCCTTCCTGAAATAACCATCGTCCTGATCTCACACCACAGATTGGTTTCACCAGTGCTGACATTTGAACCCACGATGGTCTGTTTCCAGAATACATGCTCCCTCTACCACTTCTGGGCTCCTTAGACTTTTCAGGTCTGTCCAAGGCGTGAATGCATTGCCTTGTTGTACTGGGATGCAGCACTTGGGACCATCCTTGATGGGTGGGCCTTATTATAACAATTGAATTGAACTTGCTTTTCTCCCTGGGTGAGGGGCAGGGGAAGGTATGGGTCTAGCTCCTGTGGAGGGGAAAGGAAGCAGCAGGCCTGGCTGCCTTTGAAAGAGCCCTGGAAGAATCTGTCTTTTGAATCTGCTCTGTGCTCCTTCCTTGACCCTCATGAACTGGCCGGAGAAAGGGAACATGTGCTGAGGCAAAACGGCTGAACTCCATTCAACCTCTGCTTCGGCTCTTGCCGGAGTTGCTTTTTTCTTAGCTGTTTGCTTTGTTCACCATCTTCTGGTTGAAACGAACTGAAATGTATTCATTTCAGTTCATTTCAACTAACAGTCAGTTAACCCCTCCTATGTGTCCGGTCAAGGCTTGGGATGTTCAAGGTCACAGTGAGTTGGGGAAATGGATACTTACAGTTTTAATACTGTAATTACATATGTTAGTATGTAGCACTAGAGAAATACAGGCAGTGGAGCAATGAATTGTGCTGGGAGTGGGGGCGGCGTGGATGGATGGAGCAAGACCAAGCCAGGTGACTTTGGAGCTGAGCCTTATCTGATAATTGGACAGTTCCAAGGTAGACCCTAGGATGGAGAAGGGAGTTGGAGGCAGAGGAAGGAGCTTGCAGAAAGATATCTGGCCTGCAAATGCAGGATGTAATTGTGGAAGTGAGCAGTCGGTCCAGTGTAGTTGGAATGGATGGTGGGAGTGAACAACACACACAGGATCATCCTTGCCTTCCTGGAGCTTTCAGTCTGGCAAGGGAGACAGTAGTTAATCAGATTATCACGTATCTTTATAATCACAGGTCGATGAACGTTCTGAGTGACAGGTGTGTATGTGAGCGTATTGCTGGTTTATACTATGGGCTGGTGACGTGGAATAAATGATAATCGAAGTCTCAGGCATGGGCAGGGAGGGTCCTGGGCAGAACACTAGGAATGTTAACACCTACAGAGTAGGTGGAAGAAGACATGCTGAGCAAGAATTAACCAAAGAGGTGGGAAGAAAACGAGAATTGAAGCCAGGAGAACAAAGTGTTTCATGGAGAGAGCGATCGGCACATGGTGATGATTTTTTTTGCAAAGATTATTGTGGAAATGGGATGGTTTGTGAAGAGGAGAATCTGAGGGCAAGACTGTACAGGTGAGTGGTTCCCAGCTCTGGCCGCATATTGGAATTACACCTGCTACATGCATGCTGTACTGATTAAACCTGAATACCTGGCCCAGACATCTGTGGTTTGTAATAGTTCCTCAGGTGAGTCCATTATGCTGCCAAAGCTGAGAACTGTGGTGGTCCAGGTGGGGAAAGATGAAGGGCTCAGAGCGGTGGGCAGGAAGGTGGACTGGGATGTAGATCCACCAGACAGAACTTCGTGACATTGCAAGTGGGGGTGGGGTGGGGTGGTGGTGAGGGAGAGGAAGAAAAGAAAATTGATTGAGTGCATTATTGCAGTGCATAATAGTCTGATCCCATGTGTTTTTTGGTTTCAGATACTCCTTTTTTGTAGCAATGGGATACCTGACGATATGCCACATCAGCAGAATATACATCTTCCACTATGGAATTCTCACTACGGATTTTTCTGGGTCAGTATCTTAATTTGTTGGGGGCAGTCTGCTGGCTTTGACTCAGTCTCTTGGGGTCTGTAAAGATCAAGCGTGCACCTCAGAATCATGGGTACCTAGTTAGGTCAGTTGGTAAGACGGGCTAATGAGGTTGAGAGTGAAGACTTGATTGCTGTGTGAGCTCGGCTGTGTTGTAAGGCAGGGGTTGTGACAATGGCCCATGGGCAGCACCTGTCCCTCCACCTGGCTTTGTAATCACGTTGGAACACAACCAGGCCCCTACTTGTTTATATACTGTCTCTGGCTGCTTTTACACGACCATAGTAGAGTTGAGTGGTTGTGACGGAAACCGTAGGACCCACAAAGCCTACGATACTTGCTGTCTTGCTCTTTACAGTAAAAGTTTGTGGACCCCTATTGTAAGGCCCTTAATGCAGCATTGGTGTTCTCTCTCTTAGTTACTAATACAGAAATTCTTCCATACTAGCTGATAAATAGCTGCTACCCTACCCTCTTGGGTGCCCCCTGCCTGCCCGGCCTCTCCCCATCAGATCAAGCAGACTTGCAGCAACTAGAAAGGTAATGCCCGGTGCAGCGGGGGTCTCCGTACTAGCTGTCAAAATGTTGTCTGTCACTAGGCCTTTACCTGGCGGGCCACCCTTTTCCTAATTGGTCACCTGGGAGGACCGTGGATGGATCAATGAAAATTTTATGCCCCAGTGATGTTTGTTCAGTAACCAACTTTTCAAGGATCTTGAGGAACCCACACTAAAGCCCAATGATTCCTCACAGTGCATTGTGTGCTATCCGCATTACTTCTGTAGGAGTTCCGTTCTGTTCCCCAAAGGCAGTCTGAGGTCGGAGGGAACCCGAGTTCTCCCCTCAGGTTGAGCTGCATTCATTTGATCAATGATTGGAGAACAGGTAGTGAAATAAGGGGGTTACAACCCCCAGCTCATTTCTGTGAACTTTGCAAATTGTGCATCTAACTCACCCCATCATGAAGAGGCTTAGGAAGGCGACAGGGTGTTGCTTTGGGACACAGATGGTTGCATGGACGTTTCCATGACCGTGGTGTGGTCTCAGACCTGGTGTTTTGTGTACCAGCTCTTCTTACCCTCAGGCCTTTGGATTTTACCTATTTCTCTTTGAGCTGTCTCCTTTCCCCCAGTTTATGGAGCAATTTATCATTTTTTCTGAAACACATTTGCAGACTTCTTTATTTTTTAATGATGTGTATCGCTAGCAAAATACGGAAAATCTGGGAACAAGGAAGATAACATAGCTGGGAAGTTATAGCATTAAAAGTAATTTTAAATGGTGATCACAATCCCTAGTGTTTAATGAACAAACTTCAGTGTTTTGGTTTCACCCCAGAACCATGCCCCCACCCTGCAATACTTAGAAGAGTTTCCTGGCTCTTACTAGGTGTTCAGTAAATGAATGAGTTAAATACTCTAGTATTTGTCAGTCTTTTTTCCAGAAGCCTCAGTTAAATAGCCCCTCTAGCCATTTGGTTGGGGTATTGAATAAAAAACTTTGACTTTAGCCCAAAGTAGATTATTACCTGTTTCTCATCTACATCATGTTTTCTTTCTAAGGCACAAAGTGTACATTCATTCATTCCTTTCTGCAGCTGTTTTTGAGTTCCCAGTATGCTAGGCACAGTGCCAGGGCTTGGAGACAGCCAGGCAGGAGAGGAAATAGCTCTGCAGGAGCACAGAAATGTGAGACCGGTGCCTGAGGAGGTCCCAGAAAGCCACCTCCCTGACCCTTACCACCCACATCCCTGTGTCACCAGGTCCTATCAGGTCAGCAGCCTGGCTGTCCCTAGGCTCCATCCACTGCTGTGCATGCCCGCTGCCACCACATTGGGCCCCCACGTGTCTGCAGTTTCCCCAGCTGGCGCTCTCTTCTTCCACCCTGTCCCTTCTCCAGTCTGTGTTCTTTATAACCAACCAGTGAGGTTCTAGAATACCAAGCAGGTGATGAGCTGGCCGGGCCTCATCTCTTGCCATCTCCATTTGCCGTTGTGCACTGCAGACAGCCGCAGTGCTGAGAAGTGTACAGTCTGCACGCTCGCTGGGTTAGTCCATGACTCGGTGCCTCTGCCTTGCTCATTCTGCTGATGAAAAGGATATTTATCACCCTTGTCTATGTGGAAAACTTTTACTTCTTTCTCCAAAACCCAGTTCAAAGATCACTGTTTTACAAAGCTTTCCCTGATAGCTGCCCGCTTTCACCCCCCCTCCCCTTCCTCCGCCAGGCACTCACTGCATTTTGGACCTTGCACCTGGCTCTCAGTGGCTGGTGCTGTCCATTGCCTGTAAATCATACCCATCGCGACCCCGGTGCCTGGAGTGCTTGTAGCTGGCAGTCACAGGCTCTTCTGCTTTCATCAGTTGATTTGTACGTTTATCTAGTGTCATCTGTGTTTATTCTAAAACTAGTTTATTGCGGTTTGTACTTATGTGTAAGCGGATTATATATGAAAGGAGAGAACATGGTTTCTCTAAATCTAAGCTAGGTCCTTTGGAAAGTCACCAAAGCAAGTTGAATATATAATAGCTATTGAATTAAATGTGGGTGAACACGCTGCACGGATGTAGGGAAGGATTATAAAAATTAAGGGTCCTGTACTTGGATTGCTTTGCAAGCATCTTTACTTTCTTTCACCTTCTCAGTCCATGTTAGAGGAAATGGTCCAGTAGGTGGGGTTTATGTAAGAGAGAGATGCCGTCATTGAGCAGGTATACACTCCGGGGAGAGACTTTGGTCCTGCATCGAAAGGTTCATTTGTTCATCAGTCAGCAGACACTGATGGAGAGCCCCCTATATGCCAGGCACACTTATGAGACAGGAGTCAGCGAGCCTGGAGTGAACGTAGGGTGATCTAGTTCAAGTTTGTGTAGGAGTTGATGTCAGCATGTCATTGTGTACTGGGCTGATCAGTGTTCCCCAAATTCGTGTCTAACCAGAACCTCAGAATATGTCCCTATTTGGAAACAGAATCTTTGCAGATGTAACTAGTTAAGATGACCCAGAGGATTAAGGGGGGCCCTGAATTCATTATGACTGGCGTCTCTGTAAGCAGTCCATGAGAGATGCAGAAACAGACACGCTGGGGGAAGAAGGCCATGTGAGATGGAGGCAGAGCTAAAAGTGAGGCAGCAACAAGCCAGGAGCTCCAGGGACTGCTCTCAGCCAGCAGGAGCTAGGAAGAAGCACGGGACAGATTCTCCCTCACAGCCTCCGGAAGGAACCGATTCTGCGAGTGCCTTGATATCGGACTTGCAGCTTCCAGACTCCAGACAAGGTTTCTGGTTTTAACCCCCCCCAGTCTGCAGTAATCTGTTACGGCAGCTCTAGGAAACGGATACACATTGCTTTGTGATGGCACGCACAATGTCAGGTGAGCTAACCGCGGCCCCTTCCTCCTGATCCTGCAGGTGAGAGCCCTGCTCCTGTCCACACCTCTCCCTGCTCTTGTCACACTGCCGCCTCCACTGGTTTTATTCATAAAACCACAAACTCTTGAATGATTGTTACATCATTTTAGTCTAATCAGAATTGTGGGAAGTTACCAAAAGGAAAAACAGAGGAAAACACTGATGTGTTTGTGACACGTTGTGGGTTTGGGGCCTGCCGGCAGGGAAGGATGGGGACCAGTTCCTGTCACTGCCTTCCAGTCGCGGGGCCGTGATACGTTTCCTGACGTCGTGTTTGCTCCTTGTACTGAGAAATCTCTGCATCACCCACAAAACTGTAGAACGTTTGAACTAGGAAGGACTGTTGTTAGGAAAAGGGTACCAAAGAATGTCTTCCACCTGTAAACTGCGTGCAGTTTAGTTCTGTAATTACTGAGCGGCCATACTATCCAGTTCTTGATGGTATGTCTTTTTAAATTTTTTTATTTAAAAAATTTTTTTAATTTTAATTTTTTAAAAATTTATCTTTACTGTTGAAAGTATTACAGACGCCCCTTCCCCCCCTTTTTAGATTATAGGGCATTATTAAGCAGCATTTTCTTTCCCTACCACCATATGTGCACAGTGCCTCACTGACGTAGATCCATCCTTTCGGATAATGTCAGTTAACATAAAGGGGGAGGTGCAGAGCAACCTGAATGGGCAAGATGCCTTAAATCGCAGCTCGTTGGTTAGATTCTTCACCAGTTTGTTCTCATTGTGAGCACGCAGGCAACCACAAGTGTTCCTTCACGGTGGAATTTAACAGTGTCATTTCTGTTTAAAAATCTTAGGGTTCTGTGAGGAGTAAAGGAGTGCTCTGAAGTTGAACCTGGCTCTTTAAAGCGGCCCGATGTGGCAGCTGCTCTCTCTTGATCACACGTACACACCTAAGTGCTTTGCGTACTTTATTACACCTGCAGAGTAAGAGCACAGACATGAATCGAATGGGATTGGATTCGATTAGTGTTTGTGTCAAACAATATATGTTTTTAATTTTGAGGAACACATAAACTTGCTGTACTTTAGATTATTCTGGTGCTTGAAATGTTATCATTCTGAAAGTAATCAGGTTTTCATGGGCCAGACTGATGTTAATGGTGAGGATAGCACACAAGGTACACTTTTCTTAGTGCTGCTAATCCAGTTTATGTCAATACGGGTAGCAGTGAATGTCCTCGTGCTTTCTCGGTGAATGTGGGCTGTTAAAGATGCCAGAGCATTTACTGTTCTGTGGGAAGCTCAACAATGGCTGTAATAAGGCTGGTGCTTGATTCCTTTTAAGTTTGTGATTGTGAACTGATTCTTCTTTGTTGCTCACAGAAGGGTTTTCTTCTGAGGAAAGCAGCAACAAGAACCCCTTTTCTTTGCAGGGCAGGGCAGATTCAGGCAGACAATTGCTCTTCCACCATGCTGGCAATGTGAGTTGCCCATGTGTTTTTGAAAACATTATGAAAGGAGAACTCTTATACACTTCTCGTGGGAGTATAAACTGGCACAACTCTTTTGAATAGGCGATTTAGCCATGAATTTCAAGCAAGAATTTTTAAAAAG